GTTCGTCAACAGATGATCATTTTCTGCTATTTCCACTTTGAAATTGTCTATTTGTTTGTTTTTAAATAACATTATATCTCCAATAAGTTTAAAAGCTTGAGACTTCAGAGCATCTATCTTTTCATTTAATTCGGTCAGGACGTCGTTAGCAGCTGCTTCACACTCCACTGGTAGTTTATTATTGACAATTTCTTTTAAATCTTCATTACGATTTATAATTGTATCTTGGCTTGCCGTCACGTTTTTTAGTATAGCGTGCATTTCCAAAGACGTATTTTGGACCAGCAGTTGAATGTCTGTTGTAGGGCCGCAGTCAAGAGAAAACGATTTATGATTAATCACACATTTGCTACACATAAACAAGTGACACCAACTGCAGTACTTTGTAAATGGGGCATTTTTGTGTGTGCGACATTGTAGAGAGGGCATAAATTTTTTTTTGATTTTCTTTGTGGCCATCGTCAGATCAATGATTTCATCACCTGTATGAAGAGTGAACTTTAAGTGATTTTCAAGGCACTTTTTACACAGATATTGGCCACACTGTTTGCAATATATTATAACAGCAGACACGTCACATTCGTCGCATTTTTGTTCTTGTTTTTTAAACTCAAATGCCTGTTGCCAGTTAGCAAGGAAGGAGGTCGCCTTTAAACTCTGCATAACCATTTTTATTTTACATTCGTTTGGCACGGGACGTTTTTTAAGGTTTGCCGGTAACACATCTTTGAAACAATCCGGACACTTGAACGAATCATTTCCGAGACATTCTCGTTGTCTTTGGCTAAAGTAATCGATTAAGCATTGGTAACAAAATCGGTGAGAACAAGGAAGCGTTCTTGAATTGCCGTTCAAAGACTTTTTACATAAATTGCATATGAACACAACAGGAGACATGTTTGAAACAGTAACAACAAATATTATTTTAACTTTCTGGACTATGCCACGTGACAGAAACTTAAGTAAAGATAAAGAAGTTATAAAAACTTTATACACTTTTTATCTTTATACTATAAAGTGATCTCAATAGATAAAAAAGTTTAAATTTAACTTAACGATTTTTTTGGTCCATCCAGTCTAATTTCCTTGATTTTGTTTAATTTTTTTTAAGAAAATGTTTTAGCGACTCCGTGTGTTCAAATTCAATCAGTACTTCCTGTTTCAGTTTAACACATCCTTCCGCAGACTTGGGATAAAAATGCAACAAGTCGGAAAAAATGTAATATCGAAAATTTAAGTATGTTTGATAAAAAGATAAAGATTTAAATTCAATTAAACAAAACTGAAATGTATACTTTTTTGTAGTGAAAATATTTTTCTTCATTATTTTCGAATAATTTTTTAAAAAATTTAATGACCATATTTTCTCCGGCAAATTATTTTTTTTTAAGTTTTAGATTTAGAAGGGATGATTTTAATTAAAAATACTACGTTCTTATGAACATAGGGCCACGATTTTGTATTTTTTACGAAATAAAAAATCTTATGAAATTTTTCATTTAAAAAAATAAAAAAGTCTAAAAAAATAATAAACTTCCATTTTTTTCTGTGACTAGCCGAGCGGCTTCTTAATTCATGGTGTTTGTTCAGTAAAAACCCTAAACTGGAGTTGATTATTAAATAAATTTTCATTTTTATTTTTTACATTTTTCTATCCAGATTTGCATGAGGGCTGATAAAAATAAGTCTCTAATTTTAGGAGTACGTTCAAAGTTCAAAATCACCCGAACTCTCAACGTAAAAAAAAAAAAAATCAGGAAATTGTCAGATTTAATTGGAATTTTTGACATTTATTCATGAATTATATATTTATTGAATTTTTTATTTGTAAGCTTTTGTGGGAGGATTTATTTTCGATTATTTCATTTAATAATTTATGGTTCATTCATAAGTGAATATTTGGGATGTTCCTAATTTTTACACCATTAAAACAACTCCGGGGATTTATCATAAAAAATAAAAATAATGTCGAGTGTGAACAAATCGAAAATACAGTCTGAATTCTTAAGAAAAGAATTTAAGAAAACTCAAAACATTTTTGTGGAGAATTGCTTATAACTGTGGATGAATGAATGGTACTGTAGTAGTAGGTACCGCCACGGACTTTCTAAAAAAGACATTTTAATTGTCTTCTTTGAACTTATATTTCGGTTATCTTTGAAAAATGATGGTCTAAAGCTAATCCGAATTAAAAGAACATTAATTTCCGTATATTAATAAACTTTTTAGGCATTTTTGAAACAGTACTTTTTCGTCATCGAGCCGCCATTGTATACGAAAAAATGTAAACAAGAAAATTAAAATTCTCTTTAAAATACAACATTTCTCCTAGAGATGTATTTTGAAGTTTGATAGTATATGTAAGGATTAATTAACTGAATTTTCTAAAAGTGATGCTTACCTTTTACTTAAAACAGAACGAAAATAACGTTTTATTTACGCACGGTAGTTTAAGAAAACTGTAAACAAGAAACTGCCATTCAACCTGTATAAAAGCGCGGCGGAAAGTAAAAAATACATAAAAAAACCCTGAAGTACAGAAGACTAACAGTGCAATAATCAACAATTGTTTATTTATGTTTTAAAATAAATTTTATTTAACCTTATATAACAGATAGTTTAAGAATATGTTTAATAATAATGTATAGAATGAATAATTTATTCTTACACTTTTAGTTTTAAACTTTAGTATAATGAAAAATTTTATTTTTACTGACCGAATGGGAGATATGAAATTATACGGATAATCTGTTTATATTTCTGAGTATTGTAACTATTGTTCGGACTGTTGTCCTCATTGTCATATTCATGACATTTCGGCCGTTGTACACTTCAGCCTTCTTTTGTTGGAATTTCGGGTCGAACCCTTTATTTAGTCCACTCTTTGTAGATTGTTCTAAATTAAATTAATTCCACGTACCATGCCTTCCGATATCTCAGTTTGAGAATTCGCCTTGAAACTTTCACCGAGGCCAGGGATCAAAGAACCAACGATTTTTAGTTTTATCCACATGGCCAAGTGTCCCGAGGGTGAATTTTTGACTTATGTAACTATTTTCTTTTATGATAATTTTTTTTCCCTAGAATTGTTCACCTCATCTGTTGTTTTTCTCTAGCTCTCTGAATTACTGGTTCACATATTGTTTTTGGTCTGCCTAGGAAATTTTTGTATCCTTAGGTTTTCGTATTTCCAGTGATGTTCTCTGTCTATTATTTCAACTTCATCCCACAGAGGGTGGTGATCTCCCTTTTCTCTCCATATGTGGTGGTCAGCCATGCCTGATTTTTCTGTTCCCCTTCATGTTATGGCAGGGTCGGTGAAAGAGATTCTTACAACATCTCGATTTTCATGAGATAGTATTCATATAAAATACAAATTCTATTATAACCTAATTATATACAATAATGGATCAACAATTCAACAAGAAAAATTGAAAATAAATACATTGAAATACAATGTATCTAAAAATACAAATTACATATCATCATTCCATCTTAAATAAATCAACAATGTTTTTTAAAACTTGTTTCCTTTTATCGTTTGTTGTTCTTTAACAACCATGAGTTGTTAACAGACCATAGCTATTTTATAGATTCATCTTTTTAGGAGATATTCTAAACAATAGTGGGTTTTTTGTGTGTGTGTGTGTGTGTGTGTGTGTGTGCGCGCGCGCATTGGCGTACCTGGGGACTGCTGTACAATTATATTGTGTATTGTACAATGACAAGAAGGATGAAAAAATAAAACCATTTTTTAAAAATGTTGTTATTAAAACTGTTTAATTATTAAGCAATAGAAAACAAATAGTAAAAATAGACAATACGAAATAAATGCTAGGATTCGAAACGCCTCTAAAAATTCAAGGATACGTCCTTTTCCTTAACCCTGCATTTGTCACTTCAGATTTCCAAAAAATAGATACTCTCTTTTTGTGGTTTGCATCCCACAATAACTGAACTATAACTGCACCATACCATGTGCTACACACACTCATTGAGTTACTGTAGGGGGGGGAGCAAAAGCAACAAGTTACCAGCTAGAAATTACAAGTACTTTACAAATTTTGGGGTAAAAAACACCCCATGTTACTAAAACAGAGTTTAAAAAAGTGTTACATTTAAGATTTAATGATTAAAAGTAAAACAACAATCTCAGTTATTCATCATACTATGCGTAAATAAATTAGCTAATTAAATATTCATAAAAGTAATATAAAAATATAATATCTATAATGAAATAAGCTCATCAGATGATACTTTTTTAAAAGACAAGCGATGTATCCTAAAGAATAGTATACATACATGAACATGTAGGTATATATATACATAGGTATACATGACATGTATATACATGTAAACTAGAGACTAAAATAAAAATAAAATGTGTATTTTTTTTAATAAATAGAAAATAAAATAAAAACAATGAATGTAAATGGATATGGAAATAAATAATAATCATTTTTCTTATTTTTCTTTAAAAAAAAAAAAAACAGCTTTTTTTCCCCTCTTTTGAGCAATGGGAAAGAAAGACGTCCGTTCTTTTGCAAATTTAGTGTAACGAATATCGTCCTGGTTTAGTAGTGAAATCGACGAGCAGAGTTCAAATTCCGGGCTAGGTTGTTAGTTTCTGTACTGATGCTTTTGTAAAGAGGCATTCAATCAGCTAGCTGGGGAAACTGGGCTTTCTAATTTTGAGTGGTAACTAGTCAAAGAAAATTTCAAACTCTGGCGCAAACAACAGGAAACCACTCCATCCACTGTCTTTCTTTACCAATATAATTCATGTCAATTGACAGATAATGAAGAAGAGAATCTATGAAAAGTTGTGAATGATACGTCCACAAGGGACCATGCATTAAAAAAAAAAATCAAAAAGTCATACGAATTCAGATAAAAGTGCCGTGCCTCTTTTAGAAAAAAATTGCCTCCTTTTCAAGTTTTAGTTTTAAACTTTAAACCATACATTTTCATAGTTAAATTATTCAGATATTTTTCCTTACCTTTTCAGTAGCTGCCCACTTGTCGATGATGTCGGTGCAGAAATTATAGAACTTCTCTACATGAATATTAAAATTCTTCCTTTCCGTTTCATAATCTGTAAGACCGCTTTCAGGAACAGCATGATCAGGTCTATTGTGATCTCTATCATTGTTAATTGTCATGTAATAGCGGAAAGGCAAATAAGAAAGAAAAAAACTATGGGAGCTCGAGTAACTGGAGCAAATTGAATAATATGCTTGTTGAATGTTATTCGTATGATTCAACATTTTTCGACATGTTGCTGTTAAGGATAAATACTTATATTTACTGTTAGTGTTACTGTTGTTTATTGATGTACTTTGTTGTTGATGCAGTGTTGCAACTGAATTTAAATGCCGTACGTAAATTCTCATCTTTAGTCTGTTCAGATGTCCGATAGGCTTCATTTTGTTTTTGAAAGATAGGTAAGAGTCAAAATCGAGAAACAAATGTGTACGCAGTAAAAACAAAGTTACAAAATCAAGTTCTGTCTAACTTTCAGAGTGGGAGGGAAAAAAATGTTAAACCTCCTCCTATTTCACTCTGGGGGTTGCCCTACTTTGTAAAGTTTTACTTGTGTACATTTTATTTTTATTCCTCCTATTTTCCTAAGGTCAGTAATACTGTGTGGTTTCACGCATACGCGCAAACAGACTTAGAGACAAATACTGTATGTGCAAATAAATTCATTTAGAGAGAGAGTTATAATTTCTATGTCTACTTAATCAATCAGTTTGTTCATTTGAAGATTTACATTGTTGAGAGATTTACACGTGAGAAATCAGGTCATTATTAAAGAATATTTATCTGAAAGAGTTGTCCTATGTGAAAAATGTGAGGATGTCACTGAGTTTCTCGCTACAGGCAAAGTTTTGTTTTACAATTCTTTTACCAAGTTTTTTTGTTTGTTGTTTACAGATAGACAAATAAAAATAAAATAAAGCGAGGAAGTTATTTTATTGAAGCAAAATAGACAAATGAAATGCTTATTTTAATGATAATTGTTCTGATGAACTTTTCACTTTTCTCTATCTAAACTTAAAGTGCAGTTATTGACAGCAAGGTTTCATCATCTTACAGTTGGCTAGATGTAAAGTTCTATGCTAACAGTTTCTTCTTGCTTGTGTGTAGGAAATTTTTCCTGACTTTCCCACATGAGAGGGTTCGTTAAGGTTAAAAAGATGACAGAATCGATAAAATAAAGCAACAACTCTCTGTTTAGAGCGGACAATTCTCTCTTGTATGCGGAAGAATAAAAACTCAAATAGTCAAATTCCAGATGGCGGCGTAATAATATAAAAAATGTTTATTTACATACACAAAGAAGGTAAAGGCATATACAAAAAATATTAGAGAAAGAAAGGGAGAAGAAAATTCATTTTTAACTTAAAGCTAGAAAAAGTGTTCATAAAGTTTTAAAAAAGGTTTACTCAAATTTCTTTGAGCGCCTAAGTGTTCTTTAAGCAAGTAAACTGTTCTTAAAGGGGTTGTTAACACTCACATAGAATTTTTCTGGGTTCTTGTTGAGGAGGAAACAGTCAGAAGATCCGTAGTTTGTAGTTGAGTGAGTTCATAGGCCGACGACAGGAAATTCTAGGTGCAAGGAAACAGATCTCGATTAGTTTTTAAATGACCAACGTTCTGCCCAGTATGTAGATTTCTTCCTTGAAACAGGTTCTGAAGATGACTGGTGTTCTGTCGCCACCTGATATTATCGCAGACGATATCAAGTACTCACTGCCAAAGAGGCGCGCGTATTCTCCGTATTTATCGAGATTAGAATAGAAGGCTAAAAAATATCGGGAACTTTTCCGGGTTCCCTCCAAAATACATATTCTTTTTTATTTCTGATAAATTTTGTTTGGGAGCTGGATTTTGGAAACAAGGGTCCGATAAGTAGTAAGCGTTACCCCCGACTTTTTGGCACCATGGTCAGGGCAAAGGTGTTCAAATTCCTTTTTATATTTTTCAGTTCTCTCATTCGCCAGAAAATATACTCTTATCTCTGATAAGAATCAAGGCTTTGGGAGCCGGATTTGAAAGCCGGGGTGAGGTGGGGGGAGTTGGGGCAAAGATCAGAAAATAGGCTAGAACGTGAACTTGTAAAACATGTAACATAGTGGTTCTCAAATTAAATTCTAATACTTTCCCCTCAAAGAAAGATGCAATAAACTTCATTTTGTTGCAGAAACAAAATCCTATTTTTCCACTCCCAAATATGCTCACACGAAGTGTGATATTGATGAGTTCCAGTTAAAAATAGGCACGGTGGAAGTAAATGGATAGCGGCTCGGATTGAGGAATCGGAGAGCCGAGTTCGATATTCCAGTCGAATCCATTACATTCACTTACATGCTAATAATACTCTTGGGAAAGGTATGAATCCTCTTCCCCCTCCAGCTATGGAAATAGCAGGACAGACCGGGTTCTATAGCCTTGGGTGGCAACTGGTCTACCGCAGAAAGAAATGGCAACCTAATGCAGAAAAAAATCTGCTGCGTCAGTCATATATCGAAAGATGCCTACGCATGTGTATCACGCATGGCACACATAACTCAAACTGACTGAAAATTAATTCATTTGGAAATAAATTCATTTTAGAAAAGTCTTTAAGGCGTAAGGTTTATAAATTTTTCATGATTTGAAACCAATCCCACCTGGGAAAATATAGAAATAATAATGTAATTTTACTACTAACTTAAACTAATTTTAAAAGAGTAAATCAAATTAATTACATATTTCAAGCCCAGAGTTCTTCGCCTTCGAGGGCCTAAAATGAGAAAACAATACCAGACTGAAATTCTGTTTCTGATTCTGGAGGTTTTAGGATATGTACGGAATCCTATGATCAAATTTAATCAAATTATTAAACTTTTCAACGAGCAAATACATTTTCCGAATTTTTATAAAAGGGAACTTACTGACAACGAGTAAGTTTTTTTCAATAAGTAATCTAACCTATCCCACCAGAGAAAGGAATAGATAAAGTAAGTAAAGTGTGTTGCGGAGGTAAAAGTTAAGTTTGAAAATTTATCAAACAGCTATTTTTGGTTATATGAGGTCGGCTGCGTGTATAAAATTTCATTCCTCCATAAACATTTAACAGAACTTTAGATGTATGGCACAAGGCTAACAAAGCAATACAAAAGATGACAACAATAATTTAAAACAACAACAAAATATGAATAAAAATACAAATTATCAAGAATAAATTGCTCAGAATATTTAGCTGAGCTATGATGAATTTCAAAGTTCAGTAAGGTTTCAAAAAATTTGAGCAATTTAAAATGCTTTATAGTTTAAATGTTCCTTCAAACAAAACTGTTTTTTATTTACTCTTCTTATGAATTTAATTATTTGTAAACTTTTCTTTGAAAGAGAGAATTTTTATCTGGTCTCACAATGAAAAAGTGTTTGTTTTTAGAAGAAATGTTCTTTGTGAATTAGTTGAATGTTTTTTTTTGTGTGTGTATGAATATTGTGAGAATAAATGTGTTTGGAAAAAAGGAACTTACTTGAACTTGCTGTTTCAAGAACTTTCTGTTTGGTACTAAATTAAATTTAGTTTTTGTACTAAAATTGCCTTCTTTGACCTTATTTCGGTTATCTTTGAAAAATGATGGTCTAAAGCTAAATCCGAATAAAAAGGACATTAATTTCCGTATACAAATAAACCTTTTTAGGCATTTTTGAAACTGTATTTTTTCGTCTCATCGAGCCTCTATTGTATACGAAAAAATGTAAACAACAAAATTAAAATTTTCTTTAAAATACAATATTTCTCCTAGAGATGTATTTTGAAGTTTGATAGTAAATGTAAGGATTTCATTTGATTTAATTAACTGAATTTTCTAAAAGTAATGCTTATCTTTTTACTTAAAAAAGGAACGAAAATAACGGTAGTTTAAGACTAAGAGTAAACAAGAAACACTGCCATTCTACCTGTATAAAAGCACGGTGCTAGGAAATTTGTCCGGCTTTCCCGCATCAAAGGGTTGAGGTTAAAAATTGGGTTGAGGTTTAAAAATTGCGACAAGACGCGAGTAAAACAGCAAGATTAGAGCGGACAAATTCTCTCTTTTAGGCGCGTTCGAATAAAGAAAAAATCCTGCTCGGTGAGTAACGATAAAAGAAGTAAGTGTTTATTTACATATACAGAAAAAAAAGGCAAAATGATAAAGAAAGGACAATTAGGAGAGTAAGAAAGGGAAAAGAGAAAATGTTCTTAACTAACAGAAAAAAGACTTGCTCAAAATATTTCTCTGGGCGCCTAAAGAGTTCTTTAAGCGATTAGAATATTGTTTAAGGTTCAGATAGAAACACTCACAGTTCTTGTAGAGTGGGAAAATTGTTCGCAGATATAGGAATCCTGCAGTTGAGTGAGTTCGTAGGTCGACGACAGAAGTCCAGTGGGCTCGTCAGAAGGTGTGATGAAGGGATGCAGCTTTGAATTGGTCTTGAATTGTGGACCGACGATCGTTCTTGACAGCCCTTTAGTAGGTAGTTCTTCTTAGATTGAAAGTTGACCTCACAGACGGTGGGCAGGATTCTCACTGGCAAAATAGGCAAGATTCTCCAAATTTATGGAGTTTTTGGTAGGCTCCGATGGATCGGGGACCTTTCCCTCCAAAATCGTTGTACAAATTTCCTGGCCCCTCTATTGGTCAGAAAACACATTCTTATCTCTGATAAGAATCAGGGCCCTGGGAGTCGGTTTTGAAGGTATTGAAAACAGGTTGAAATGAGGAAGCTGTGAGGTTCCCCCCAGACTTTATGGCACCATGAAAAGAATAATGGTGGTGGAATTCCTTTTTTAATTTTATATTTTCCATCTCTCTCGTTAGTCAGAAAATAATGAAGGCCTTGGGAGCCGGTTTTGAAATTAAAAAGAGGTTGGAGGGAGGATAGAAAAAAAAAGCGAAAATGTGAACTTGTAAAATTGTTGTTCTCAAATTAAATTCCAACAGCGGTGGAAAGTAAAAAATAAAAAAAAAACATAAAACCTGAAGTACAGAAGACAATAGTGCAATAATCAAGAATTGTTTATTTATTTTTAAAATAAAGTTTTTTAAATCTTACTTAACCGATAGTTTAAAGATCATGTTTAAAACTAAAAGTGTATAGAATAAATAAATAATTTATTCTGACACTTTTAGTTTTACAGTGTAACCCGGATATAAGAGAAACCCGGATATAAGAGAGATCTTCTCTGGTCCCAAATTAGAGCCTGTGTTAATATATATAAAAT